GTATAAACAATATATTTTATCTTTGGCAGTGAATGAAATAAAGATTTAATTTTTATTTAGCATAATTCAATATCCTCATAAAAAAATTAAAAAGAAATAAAATGAATTAGGACTTCATTCGGCTTAGGTACCTTATTAGTATAGTAATTCAGATTGAATTTTTTGATTATTAGGGCCATTATTTCTATTCCTCATTATTGAATTTTCAAATGCACGGTCTAGTAAGATTTTTATCGTACATAAATATCAGTTTTATATTTATCACATCATGAGTACGTAAAAGATAAACGATTCACCGAATAAGAAAAACTTTCATTTCTTTTAATGCGGTAAATTTCAATAATGAGTTATTGTTGTGAGAAATTCGATATATCATTCAATCGTAAATTGCTGCAGCTTCTAGTAAAGATTAGTCCTGTTTGAGCTACTTCTAATATTTTACTATTCTTACACTTAATATAAATTTTTTTTCAATAATTTCTGGTATCATCATATGTTGGTATGTCTTTAGTTAAACAATGACAAAAATGTATTGAATTAATTTTTTGACATTGTATTTTATTTGAAATGTGAAAATCAAAATATTGGAATATTCTATAGAAATTAGATCGCTTAGAATACCTTATACTAGTACTTATTTAATGAGCCATTGCCGGGAAAATCTTTTAAAGGAGGTGAATGGTAAGATAGATGAGCTAGTTTCTTTTAACGATCGAAATTTTTAAACGAACCACGAAGCGTCGCTCTATTAACTATACGTTCGTCATCGTTAAAACCTCCGTGATAAGAAAATCGAATTGTGCAGAGTAGAGAAGTTTGCGCGACGGAATGTTTTGCACTACAAAAGAGTTGTGTAACATGTATATAACGAATCATGGAAGTAATTACCGCCTTTTCTATAAGCCAAAACATGGAACGTGTGACCCAGCTTCTTTGTATGTAAATGAAGTAGCAGTATTTACGACATAAAGTTACGCTGCCTATAGAAACGTTGCTTGGAAAGGAAAAGATACGTGTAACATCAAGATATGAGTACACGAAAGTATAATCGACATTTAAGTGCTTCGCTGAGCGATGCCATTATATGGAGAATGAAAGAAAAGGCAAAAAAAAAAACGTATTTATGGCGTTGTCATTTTATATGATTTCGTTATTTGTCAGCCATCTTCGTGCTTTGATTATATGTGAGAGGAAGCAAGATGTGCGTTTTATTCCATTTTGCCATACGTGACGTGACGTAAGAAACTTTTTATAAAGATCAATTACAAATGAGATATCTGTTTTATGTTTAGAGTGTGAAATAAAGTTGGAAATAAAAGTCTTAAGAATTTCAGAATTTATGATTTCGCTGAAACTTGTACATAATATTCTTTGTTTTACAAAAATAATTTTCATATGAAGAAATTGCGACACGTTTATACGTAAAATTCAACTGTGGTCTTTTATGATCATAAATCCTAGTTGATATCATTCTCTTGAAAACAAAACCATTTGAATCATGCGGTCACACTAAAAAGTGATTCTCACTTGACATATAATAGACTTGAAATGACTAGAAGTCAAGTCAGGGTAGACAGAGAAGGATATTTGCATGTCGGGGAAACTGCGAAGAGGATAAAAAGAGGGAGTAATTAGTTTTAGAAGAAAGTTAAATGATATTCGCGGAGGAGGCAGAAGTAGCAATCAACAAGAATATTTAGAGCCGAACGGCCATGTCATAGATTATTGACTTCAGTTTCTTTTCTCATGATTTACGTTTTTCTTTTATCGTTTATTAAAATGTGTATTAATATTTTTTGAAAATTAGATTCCCCTAATTCCTTGAATCGATGTTGCAATAATGAAGATTTACATTAAAAACGAGTTGTAACAATTCAGCGACATATAATAAATACAAATTTACATAGAATATTATTATTAAAGTAGCAGTTTTTAGCAGTATTTTTTTACACAGCTGTAGGCATTTTATAATTAATTTAAGAAATTATACAAAATTATTTTTATACAAAGGTATGTATATTTATTCATCTTAAACTATTTTGTGTATTAAATTTACAATTATAAAATTATTTGAGATCTCGGTAGCGAAATCAATCTTCTCGAGGAAATGGAAATGCACTTCCCGAATGCAACAGTGCGCGAGAAAAAAGTCATGTAACAGTATCCGCTGTTACATTGTACCGTACTGAATACTATTATTTTTTACGATGCATTTGTGCTCCTCCTTTCATAACGCATGGGGAAAGTAACGAAAAATCTTATGTGGAAGTTCGCATGCAGTTAAACAAGTTCAATAACATTATGCAAAAAGCAAAATGATTTAAAAAAAAGGAAAAATCTAACAACAAAAATAAAGGAAATGAATCAAGAGTACATCTGATTGCGAGAATAATTACTTCTCGCATGGTTGTCTGATGAAATCATTTCCTACTGCTAAAATAATGGAATTGTGTTTCTTTTCATGCTTTCTCTGACGCAATCATTTCCTTGCGATTGCAATGAACATAGACGTTTTTCTTACGATGTATGATTGATATCGTAAAAACATCTTTTATAGTTTAGTATATCATTATATTTTTGTTTTGGAATAAGATATTATGTTAGGAACGCAAAAATGACAGAAAAGATCATTAAGACAAGATGCAAAGTTTGATCAATTCAATTTTCTTCTAAAAGTATATGTAACCTTAACCGATATTGCAGTTTTAGCATACTTATATCGCATCTATTAATTTTCTTTTTACCATGATCATAAGATTACTATAATTATGGAATAAAGCAAAGTAACGAGACATACTTTCTGAATAATAAATTATTATTGTCTGAACAAAAAAAAGCATTTAGGTTCTATATACATGATGGTAATTATGGATTTAGACGTACTACGTCGAGGATATTGTTTCCTCGAAAGTTGCTCACATAACTCGTATGTAACAGATATTTGATTAGCCGTGTTACCGGCGCTACATGTTTGGTAAAGTGCGCTCCGCTCGGTTCATTTAATTATCTATCTATATATACCCTATAATCTTGATTATGTGCAATTTCGCGGATATGCGACACTTGTGAAAGTAGGAAAATTTCTATCACATCGTCCAGTTAAAGGTATATATTAAAGAATATACCATTAAAATTGAACATAATTAAAACGAAACATTCTAAAATATGTATGATAATTAATCAGAAAATTATAAGAATTCTAGATAGATTAAAGGTAGAAGGTAGGTCTTGAAGAATCACGTAATATATATGAATGATGATAGTGACTGATGAGTAGACGAACAGAACGAACATATGTTACTTTTGGGAGTGTCGGAAGATCCTCTCTCTTGATTTACGAAACTCGCGTGACCACTATTCACATAACTGGTTTTTTTATCAGTTTATTAGGTTATTACCATTTCCGTACTACACGTGGATACATTGACGTTACTGCATATCGAGAAAGTTTTCAAGCGTTGCGATGCCCTTCGCCGTGAGCGATTTTACGTTCCAAAAAAGTGTCCATGACTTTCCTTGCGCGTCGAATTCAAGGTGCAATGTCTCTCTCTCTCTTCAGCATATGTCTCTTAAGAGAACAGCGTATTTTTCTCTAAATACGCACTGTTAAATCTGTAGTGTCAAATTTATATGAGTCACCATTGCTCTTACTAAATATATCATTATTTTTTACTAAAACAATAATTACATTTGACATTATATATTATGTAGTGTCATTTTGACACTACATAATTATATATAATGTTAAATATAACATTTTAGTATAAAATAACGATATAATTGAATAGGAGCAGTGGCGAGCAGTGGTTAACTCACATTGAGTTAAATTTAACACTGTAGATTGTAAATTTAACAGTGTGCAGCCCATCATAGTAGAATAAATAAAAATACGATTTCCGAGGAATAAATGTTTAAGTATTTTTAATTTTAAAAATAATTTTTTAAACTTTTGTCTTATTCAAAATAAATCTTTCTACATTGTTATTATCAATACGAAAACGATAACAATGTTATAATATATTTCGTACTACGATAAGATTTTCTAATAAGAGTCTGAATCAATAATCCTTCCTTTATTAGATATCGTATATTATATCCAATGTAATAGTATTTCTCGTGATGACTATTCGCTTTTTATTGAAATATATTTACAGTGCAAACTTTTTAATATCAATATAAATTGTTATATGGATGCTAAAAAGTTACAATCTAAATTAATATGTAATACAAAAAACTTATGCATTAATATTTTTCTAATATTAATATAAATTTTTTGTTATATATGTTATTTGATTGAATAAACATTATTTATTACATAAAACTTGTGACATAAAGTAGAGCAGTATAGAATAATATTGTTTTTATGTATAATTCAACAATAATTGTACATTATATAAATCGCGATATAATTAATATTATTGAAATTGGGTGACGTGCACATTGCAGTGAGATAATTATGAATAATCTAAATATTTAATTTGATAATTATTACAAAATTCGCGTGTGGCTAGTTACACACACACACACACACACACACACACACACACACACACACACACACACACACACACACACACACACACACACACACACACACACACACACACCCACACACACCCACACACACATTGAACTATGAACTGTTATATTTATATACATGAAATAGTTACCAAGATTGCAATTGATAATAACGAATATTGTCTTAATGATTATCACTTGATTCTCGTTTTTATCGTCAAGCCTTAGAATTGAGGATTGTTAGTATTACATTTGCTTCATATAAAATAATTTGTGCACAAATCAAATGCATCACAGATATTTAGAATAATTACTGATGTCATAGTTATTTTATATTATTATATTACTATGCATTTTATTAATAAGAATTATTCTCCTTATATATTTATGTAAATGTAAATTAATATCGCACATTATATAATTTTCTGATTCATGTTTAAATCTAAGAAAAATACAACTCAACTGTAGTTGGCATTACTCACGTGTTCCGATGACACAATCTTCTTCAGTAGTAAAAGATAGAGGTATTCAGTCCGCGTCGCGATGAGAACACGAAAAATAAATAATACACGTAAGAAATTGTCGCAACGCAATAACGGTCAACGGACCGAGTTGTAAATTCATTCGCGTGTCAGATACACAGAAACAATCATGTTAGAATCGACGAGTTCACCACGGTACTTTAGATCACCGACTGTGTGACTTTGACTAGTTGCTGTTTGTAAAATGCTATGGAACAGTATCACCTGGTGAAGAGCGCGGCTGCACGAGTGCCCGGCGTCTTCAACGTGACGCCGGTCGCGCGTTCGAAGGAAACCGCGCGTTGGTAACCCCTCTCCATTCCATTTCATCGTAGGTCTTCGTCCGCTATGCGTTTCTTCTCTCTTCCGGGAGTTGGCTCATTTCTCATCGCAAGCAGATTTATCTTCTCCAATATCAAATTCTGTTAAAATATTTTTTATGTACTCTGAGCTTTCCAGATTATTTATATTTTCTCTCGTTTGTTAGCCGCAAAGCGGATACAAAAATAAGATTAGAAATGCATGTATATATTGAATGTGATTGAAAGTTTCTGGTTAAAAGTCGATGCTCACACTGTGTCTATCCGCCGTTAAACAACTGAGAGTGTGCAAAATTGATGTATATATATCTTCAGAGAGGATCACAGAGCTGATCGCATAACGTTCATTAATCATTAAGGAAAGTGTTGCCCGATTGATTAGGCATCGTTCGCATAATACTATACTGAGGATAGGTCTCGGTATTCATTCTCGCTTTGATTTGTGCTTCCCTCATCATCTTGTCTTCCAATACATATATCATAGATGCTCGTTACGATTGCTCGAACTCAAGATTAGCTTTCACTCGTTCATTATTTTTATGTTAAGATCTTACTATTATCAGAATCAAATCAATAACACATGGTCATGATAATATTAAACAATAGTAATAACTTGGATTGAATAATTTATTTGTCGCATTTTGCGACATTTATCAATTTTTATTTTTTATTGTTCACATAATGTCATTTTAACCATTTTCTGTTATTCTCTTATTGTTATTCAATCCCAGAAAATTACATTTAATTGTGATGCCGATGCACGTAACGGACATTTTATTGTGTAATGTCTGACATAATCACATAGTCTCTGTAAATAATGAAAAGACCTTAGAATGACAGTGGTGTTCGAAGTTTTTCATTACCGGAATCCTTTGCTACTTTCTACGTATATGGGAATAAAGGCGATTCTTCTCTTAAATTAACAACATTACAGCAACCTGACCTAATACCTATACGCAAGTATATTCAACTGCGGAACTTTTAGTTATAGCGACGTTGTTGAACGCAATAAACTCTCATTATTCACTTAATCGGTCGAAATATATTCCTCTCGCCAGCATTTTTTTAAAGATCGCGCGAACGGCGGATATGCGTTCATGGAAGCGTAGAAGCGCGGCCGATAACCGAGATAACGTTCCTCTAGCTCGACGTTACAGTCGGATAAGTTGGAGTTCAACGATGCGTGATAAGTACTTGCTTTACTCCTCTCGCTGACATTCCCAGCTCGACATATGTGCGTGTTCGCAGATAACGAGCGTACGGATATACTTGTAGGCTGAGTTGCAGAAAGCGACTATCTACTACTAATGACTCAACCAAGAATCAAACGGTATCAATATACTTATACTCGCATGATCGACGTTCTGATAACATTTTTAAAACGTCACTTCATAAGTGACTTTCATCAGCAGAAAGATATTAAAAGTTACTAATGTTTAAGATTACTATATCATGTCATACTACATATAATACTATAGGTGAAATTTAGTACATGTTTACAAAGTTATAGTTAATAACAATGCCTTTATGCAATTTATCCGTTTAGCGGCTCTGATGTTATAGTTTCAAATGTTCGTACACAAACAACTAACTTTTCGTATGAATGGACAGCTAAGTTAAGACATTAAATTACTCATGCATTGATCAATGCTAATCGTAGTTAAATCAATCTTTGCTTATCTGCTGTAGCCAAAATTACGAAGACAGAAAATATAAATGAAAAAATAAATGAACTTATAGAATTAAATTAACTGACGTTAATAAGTTTTTTCAGTATATTCTTTTGAATTATTTATTATAATATATACATTGATATAGTATATTGATATATGCATCAATAATTTTTATAAGTTATATTCACAAGCTTATATGGACAAATGAACGATGGAATTATTCCTGAATTAATTTTAA